TCAACTAAACTGATTGGTTGGCTTGCCTGCACCCATCCTTCACCAGGACCTGTCACGGGCCAGAGAATTTATCTGCAGAGCCGCATCTTGTGTCAAAAGCCACATCAACAGGTTGAGCTTTATCAATCACATCGGCCATATGTCACTCATTTAAGCAACTGCCTCACATCACATCATCGCCTGACCGCAAGTGTGTGTACATGCCTGTGTGTGTACATTTTTGTGTGTGTTCATGTGTATTCCCCAGTTTTTGAATGTTGTTGCCGCCCGCCCCCAAACTCTAATCCAGTGCATCCAATTTAGGAGAGAAAAAACTGCACTTTGAGTTCAATTTTGTGTCAATATTTCAAAGATTTTATTGATGTGCAACAAATGTATTCTGCGTGTGTTCGTTGTCCTGTCACGGTTCGTTGATTCCTGTAATAGAAAACCTCAATAAACCATTGAACACAACCATGAAATTACATCTAAATATCTGCCGAGCCTTCATGACAGTCTGCAGCGAGTATGTCCTGATTGCTTCGTATCGCATGTGAACGACATTTGGATGTACATTCCAAGCTCAAGTCTCAGCCTGCCTTCCCTTGTTCTCTTGCTCTCTTACTGTGTGACACCCTGATATTGGATTGACCTTATAGGCTGCAGAGATCAGGACATCATTAGCTGTGACCAGCCACAGACTGGCTTCTCTGGCTGGGCCTCCTGCATTAAGCCACTGCCCCCGGTCGGATCATATAGCACTGATAGAAAGCAGCTGGGCTCGGTTACACCGCTGCCGTGGTGGCAGTAGAGATGTCAGCAATACCAACAAGAGACAGGCCATTAGAAACCCCCGGCAGAGCGGTTTGAAATGTAGGAGTTTGGAGGACTTTCTAACTGATGTGACAGGGGCTAATGGTGGTCCTTTAAGTGTAAATCTTAGTATTAAAAAGATTAGTAGGATATAATAGAAAAGAAAATTCTGTGTGGTCCTGGAAAAACGGTTATATTTTTAAAAACAATGAAAGATCTAAGTTATAAGCTTCCAGTTTGCAACATAGACCTTTAAAATTTTAGTTTTAAATCCCAAGTTGTGATCACCTTGATGATATCATAATGACATCATCAAAACGATGTGATTTTTCCATTGGACTTTGGATTATTGCAGAAATACGTTCATGATGATTACATATTTTATCATATTTTAATTAAAGTAAAACAGCGGTTAGGTTATAATCTCGCTTTATCAATACAAGTTCCTGACATGAGTTTTAAGTAAACATCTCATTACACAACTGAGAAGGTGCATGTTTAATACACGATGCAGTGTGTATTGAAGATGTAATTTAATAAAGTAGACACTTGTTTTTATAATAAGTAGAGAGTATCAAACAGTGCCAATAATAATGAAGTGTATAGGTAAATGTAGGGTAATCGGCATGCTGTTTTCATTAAAACATAAAATAAATATATTTCATATGTACAAATTGTCATTCCCAACATCTTTTTCCATCATCATGTTTTATTTCGATGGCATCATTACTGTAACTTCATAAATAACCCTTTCAGCATTGTGCTTTCATGGCAGCATTTCTTTTATAAGGGCATCTTTCCATTGGTCGATATCTCGTTTTTTTTTTTAAAACTCTTGTTTCTCTCGAGCTCCTTGCTGACTATTCCTCTCTCGCTCAGCCATGATCACAGGAGACGGATCAAGCTGAGAGGGCTTATTGTTTTCCAATAGCTGCCCCCCGGCAATGGTAGTGCAGCCCTGAGTCTTAAATGACCACAGAAGCTATTGATCTTCATAATGCATTGTTTTTGTTGTTAAATAAGCACCACAGGAAATCCGATGAAAGGTCCTGACCTTTCCCTGTGTCACTATCCACTCCACCTCCACTGGACTTTATGAAAGCATTCCAGTATGCAGGGGGATTCATGGGTCAAAAGTAAACAGTGCTCATGTCACTTAATGTTAGATTTAAAAAGTGTTATTAATAATGAAAAGGTGCTTTCATGAAAGGTTTGTCCGCAGCAGCGGCCATATTTGAACCGGCTGCTTGGTTAGAATAATCACTTCCCTGAAGGCCTGAAGTCGGGTGCAGGCGGAGAGAGAGAATGATTATAGATTCAATTTATGACTGCTTTCCACTGGTCTCTGAACACATCTTCTGCTGGCGTGATAAAGCAAATTTCTCTCCCTTCAAAGCTGCTATTTACCCTGCTTCTCACTGTTCAGCCAGGAAATTGTTTAGCCACAGACGCCGCGGTCTGACTGCTTTATATCATGTTAGAATAAGGCTCCCCGTTCGGGGTAGATGCAAAGGCTGCCATCCCGCTGCTCACCCTGAACATCACTGTTACAACAAATGAAAAAAATTTCAGTGAAAACCCATGTGCTTGAATGACAACAGGGGAATCTGTCTCTCTTACTCTGTCTCTTTCCCTCCTTCTCTCCCCCCCGTACGGTCAAGGTCTGAGTGGACCTCCAAGGCTGTTAGGGGGGGAAAATAGCCTATATAACGAGCCACATCATCGGCAAACAGTTGACACAAGTACGATTTATTGTCCCTGTGGCCAAACTCAGGCAGCAAACATCCTCCCGATTACCCTCTCTCTTTAAGATATCTCTCTCTCTCTTTCTCCTCTCTTTCTGTTTTCAGGCTACACTGTGGCCTTTCAAGCTTCTTGCTGGATCTGTGTGGGTGTGAGAGAACACTTTTAGCAACCAAGATCGCTCTTATAAGAAACACATTGCTAAAAGGTCTCTACTATTATACTCTCTGTCCCTCCCACTCTTTCTCTCTCTGTCTTATGGCAGTATAACCCTTATTACCCTCCTAATTGGATCACGCAATGCTCCTTTGAGTCAGCAGAGCAGGCCCAGTGACCCACAATCCCTTAGTCTGCTTCTACCTCGGCGCAGAGTTATCACTTCCAGCCGAGGAGTGGGTCATTGATAGCACATCAGAGTCCAACATTGAATAAAATGAACAAGTTCTGTATCTAAAAAAACAGGGAGCTCATGCATTCATCTTTCTGGGGAGAAGATAAACATCAAGTAGTTTTTTTTTTCTTCCTTTAAGCCAGAGGAATTTAGGGTCTTTACTCAAAGACAGAAAAGCAGCCATTGGTCTTTTCAAATGAAATATAATGGCGTCTGCTTATCAGTATTCCTGCCAGCGATCTGCGCCCGACAAAGTGGTAGACAGAGCTGAATGCACGGAGAGATAAGCGAGTAATGTTGCAGATAGCACTGTTCTCACCTTTAGATAATTTTGCGTGTAGAGTGTCGGATGATTGCTGATTATCGAACCGCTTTACAGTTGATCTGAATCTCATCTGCACTTAACCTCATTGTTCCTGGAGCAGAGGAGAGAGGAATGTCAATTGGAGTGTGTCTTGTGCTCTCTGGCTCTGTTTCAGCTCCCTCTTTCTCTCTCTGCCGTTCCTCCACACTTGCACACAAGGATATAACCGCGTGTACACACACACACACAAACACACACAAACAAACACATTCAGAGCTCTCTATCCCCCTCTCACAAACAAACACAAACGCATCAAGAGCTCCTCTTTCTCCCCGCGAACACGCTCACACAAACAGCCAGCCTCCTCCAGTGGATGTCTGTGGTACAGAGCAGACGCAGGCCCATGAAAAATGCATATCCCTTTGCGTGTTTCATAAGAAACACTCATCGGGATTCTATTCCCATCCCAGCAGAGATACCACACAGGAATATCAATTACACTGGCAATTTGGGTGGCAGAGTAGGCAGGAATGGTTGCTGAACGAGAATCTGGGATCCACGGTGTCATCTTAATGAGAGGGTCACTGTCACCAGAAGCTCTGGGGGGCAGCATTCCTAGTGCAGATTATAACATACACGCTGGCCTGAGTGTGATAGAAATGCTATTGAGTACAGTGCCGGAATCCTGATGGGATGGCAGGGTAACGAGCCACTAGAAAATAAACAACCTGGACCAGCAGCTGACCTGGGGGAGGCTTCTGGGTTTGTAATAGTGAGGGTGGGACTATAAAAGCTATGTGCTTTAAAAGCGTAGTGTTCCAAGACTCAGATTTTAGACTGAATTTTTCTCCAATAATAGCTATAGCAGGTTTTTAAACAATCTCTAGCATCCTGTAGACTCATTTTTCATCATATATCTGAAATCTTAACACAAGGAGCCACACATAACTGTTTTATGGACCAAAGCATAAACTCAATTTGTGCAATTTTCACTGAATTTGCTATAAATTAGCACATTTCTTAAATATTAAAGTCATATACAATAGAAGCGTTAGGACACTCCATCAATGACAAAATTATAGATCTTCTTGTCTTAATTAAACATTGCTTGCATGCAGCATTTAGAGCCTAAGGTTCAAACAGCTGATACTTATTTTTGAATTAAACAAACACTGGAACTCTGAGAAATGGTCTTGTTTGAAGTAGTTCAAATAAAGAAACTCCATGTATGTAGTCTTTAAACATTCGGTTCAAATGTTCACGTATGATCTCTTTTCAGGGCAGAACATTGTAAAGCCTGTACCCCTTTTGTATTTAATGTTCTTAACTGCTTTTCTTCTTTACCATTTGTCAGTTTTGTCAAACCTCTTCCTGAAAAAGGGGAAACAGAAAATTTCAGATATTTTCAGCATGGGCCTTGATTTCTTATTTATTTCACCACCATGCTGATCAATTCTGATCAAACTTTCATGAGTCTTGCTGTAGAGTTACCTTCTCCCCAGCTAGCAAGAAGACGATATCTGTGTCCCAAACCAAGGGAGGAATACATTTCTTTCCTCAATAAGAAGGGGCTTGTTTCCCCACATTTTACCCTAGAATTTAATCAACTTAATGTTTGATCAAAACTACTACACTCTGATAAATATACTATTTTAAAACAGCTTTCAAATTGGTCATGAAAAAACATACAATATCTAGGTGTTATAAACAACATTGTACCCTTAATGTAGTGTACACTAACACATGCTGATCCATCTGTTTCTTTCACAGGAGAATCCTTACATGTGCAACAATGAATGTGACGCCACCACAGAGGAGCTGGCTCATCCTCCAGAGCTGATGTTTGACTTTGAGGGTCGGAACCCCACAACTTTCTGGCAGTCCACCTCCTGGAAGAAATACCCAAAGCCCCTTCAGGTCAACATCACTCTGTCATGGAACAAAACCATCGAGCTGACGGATGACATCGTACTGACCTTTGAGTCCGGCCGACCCGAGCAGATGGTCTTGGAAAAGTCACTGGACTACGGACGGACCTGGACCCCGTACCAATTCTACGCCACCGACTGCCTGGACGCCTTCACCATGGAACCCAAGACGGTGAACGACCTCACCCAGCGCACCCTGCTGGACATCATCTGCACCGAGGACTACTCCAGAGGCTACGTATGGAAGAACGACAAGACGGTGCGTTTTGAGATCAAGGACCGCTTCGCCTTGTTTGCCGGACCTCGGCTACACAACATGGCCTCGCTGTACGGCCAGCTGGATACAACCAAGAACCTGAGGGACTTCTTCACCATCACTGATCTGAGGATTAAGCTGCTGAAGCCAGCCACCGGAGCCACCATGGTGGATGAGAATAACCTCTCCAGATACTTCTATGCCATCTCTGACATCAAGGTGCAGGGAAGGTAAGACACATTTAGATTTTGTTTTGGTTTTTCTACAGTCTGAAGGCTTGTACTTGGCAACGTTCAGATAATATTTTTAAATCAAAACAATGCTCTCTTCAGACACACCTCCATCATCCCTCAGCTCCCCACTCCCCTTCTGTCTCCACATTTCCCCACTCCTGCTGTCACATTTCACTAGAAGGACTCTCTAAGGTAAAACGAAGGAAAACTAAGGAAAACTCAGTAAAGTAAAAGGTTCCACTGTATTTACATAGGGTATATCTAATTTTTCAGACATTGATATTCAGAATGCCACATAATATGCCTTTTAAACAAGATTCAGACTTTGGATGCGTCAGCAACCCAGGCCCTCTTGATAAGTGCCTTCCAGTTGAAAACTAACATGCTGCATCAAATTCTGGACCTCATTCAATCTCCACTGCAGAATATTCTGGTCATCAAACATTTGCTATGATACATTATACCTCTCCAAAAACATCAGTTAGAATTGTTTGGATACATTTCTTTCTACCAAAACACTAATTAATTAATTAATTAATTAATTAATTCAGCTTTACTTGTTGGCAATATTCACCACTAGTTTTGTCTGTTTATCGCTACCAACTATCACTCACATTTTACACAAGAAATATGGCACAGCTGTCCATAAAGTCCCCAAAAAACCTTAACCCAATAGTTCAGCGTTTCACTGTGAATTCAATTTGTCTTTGACCAGGAGAATCACAGAATTGCAGATTCAATGAAAACAGTAGAAACCATGAGGCACTGTGTCAATAACCTATAAGACTTTGATGCTGTAGATCAGGGGTGTCCAAACTTTTTTTCTTGCGGGCCAAAATTGTCGTGTTAGAATCGCTCGCGTGCCACAGGTTTTGTTTTTTTAAATATAGTTGAAAAAATAGTAAGGCTTTGTAGATCAGAATCAAAAGGCTCCTAAAGAAACCCTTTAATAAAAGGAAATCAAATATTTTGATTTCTTCGTTCTACTTTATTTGTTTTTTTCTCAGAGCCTGTAACGTGGTTCATGTTTTTAGAAAAGCTTTCTTCATTTAGCTCAGGTCATTAAATGGTTAAACAACAGTCCGCTTGTTTGCAAAAACTTTGCATACGTTTTTTTTCATAGTTTACAAAAAAATGTGGAAAATAGTAAAAGCTGTAGATTTACTGAACATTTGTATTTTAGGAATATTGTTCAGCCCTTGTTAACATGAAAAAGAAAAATAAGATAATGTGCCGATCTTAATCAAGGCCTCGGGACAAAATCTTCTGATTCTTCATTTGAAGTCACGGCCTGCAAAAAATCCCCTCAAGGGCAGCAAATGGCCCTCGGGCCGCAATTTGGACACCCCTGCTGTAGATGGATCCTGCAGATAGATTTTTTAAAAACTGATAAATAATTCTAATATCTGAACATAGTGGATGAAAACTCATAGCAGTGAATTTACCTGTAGAGTAGATTAGTAGGAATAAAAAACTAACAATGGGGCTTCCCTTTGTTGGGGTAAATAACCTTCTTTTTTGGTAGAAATACTCGTGATTATGTTTTTTCTATTTCTTTGAGGTGCCTCTTTGTAGAGTTATCCTAGTGTTATCCTGTTATGACTCAATAATTAACTTACTGGACAAGCTGACTATCACAGTCCAACATGAATGAATGTCGATGAATGTATTTTGATAAAGACATCACATAGGTGATTACAACTGGTTGAATTTTCAAAGTGCAGAGGAAAGAATCTTCAAAGCCAGCACCTCCTTGAGCCTAAGTCCTTCATAATTCCACATCTAAGGGTTTACAAGGGCAAAGTGCTCTGTGGCCTAGAATAAGTTCAACCCAGCCCAAAATTGCATTTCTAAAATAAGTCTGAATCAGAAAAAAAGAGCTGGCAGCCGGCTGCAGATACTGAACTCTACTCTCCTAAATTACTTATTATAACCCTAACTTGACAAGGACAGAGGGCTGAGCTCGCCTCCTGTGAGCCATGGCGAAGAGAAGAGTTTTAATGCATGTCTCTCTGCATTTTTTATGGCCGACACACATTAAGATTCCACAGATGTCTCATTATCCTGTAAAATATGATCACCATTATTGGGTCAGGTAGCAGATCATTTGGATAAATGTTTTGTTTTACAACATTTTAGTCAGTACAGCTTAGTAACTGATTTGGTTATTACCTTTAATCACTGAGACTTTTGATAGGTATGAACTTTTCACAGACCTTGTGTGGCTGGGCAATGTTTCTCTTTGTTATGAATTATTAACTTTTCACCTTCTGTGAACATGTTCAAATATCAACATCCACAATTTGGTGTTTAAAACACACTTTGCATTGTAAAAGTTTCATGTATCAAATATTGGTTGCATTTCTTTCCTACTCTGTACATCAGCCCAAACACAGAAGGTGTCATCTTTTAGCATCAACATAAAGGGTGCAAGAGGAGGAAGCCACATCTTGCATGGATAGACAGCAGAGAGAAGTTTTTTTTGGTCTGATGAAATACATTTAGGCACAAAGCCACATTTTGCCCCAAGTCAAATATCTATGTTTGCAGGATTTGTTTCAGTTACTTTATTACGAGCTCCAGTCTGGTTTGTCTGTAGAGAAGGACAGTGATTCATGTGAAACCGAAGTCAAAGTGTGTTTTATGGCTCATAATTGCATGATTAATAGTCGAGCAATATCTTTTTAGTAAAATGTCCTTTGTTTCTGATGAGTTCCCCTAAATGAGTATGGGAACGTTTTATTAGATTTTATAAAAAGGAATGTTTGAGCAGTGAATTTTATTTGTTTGGCTTGGGGCAAAACAACGTTTTTTCTTTGCAAAGTAATGCAAGTCATGGTCATTTAATAGATGTATTAATTTCTAATTAATATTAATCTCATAATATAACATATTAGTGTGAAGCCACGTTTGAATGATTTTTGTTTCCACTTGGGGGCAGTAGTGGCCGATGTGAACGCAGCTTGACTATATTATGTACACACATTACAATGAAGTAATTGGGGGGGAATCTTGTTTGCAAACAGTTACTTATTCCAGATGCATCGAAACATTACATTATCACAGTGGTTAGCCTACTTGTTAAATAAAAGTACAAATTAGTCTAACTTTTTGGCCGATGTTAACCAGCTATTTGCCAGCTATGTCAAGCCTTTGGGCCTGAGCAGGTAGTGTACAGAGAGTTTCATAATTCATCCCTGGATAGGAGGATAAAGAAAACCTTGGTTAACAAGCATGAAAACCAAAGCAAAACTCCAAAGACTCGTTGAAAAAATATATAGAGCTGATTAGACAGAAGAGCAGTGTTATTGTTCTTTTCACATAACACATACTCATTTGATCTATTGTGATTATAAAAATACTGATCCAACCAATTTAGCATGCTTCCTATCCAAATAAGGTTAAATGTCAATGTTCAAATTTTCACAAATTAAAATCTGCATTTCCAGTAATACTCTGAAGACATTCTGAGCATATGCCATTAACACAGCTTGCAATGCTGCTGAGTATATTGCATCAGTGAGTCATCACAATGCCTCTGCGATTTTCAGGGAATGGAAACATTGTGGTTTCATGACGCATGGAAATGGCCCACATGACGATCATAAAGCCTCTACAGCTGCTCTCCAAATGGGACCTGTGTTGCTTGCTGCAGTTGGTTTATATGAGGATAACTAGGTTGGTAATGACCCATCAGATGGGCCCTGTGTGATTTGAAACAGTTACTCCCTAATTAGGATTCAGTCGACTTCAATGGCAGATTAGAACCATTAGCACGTTGGCTAATTGGTAGGAGACTAATCTTGTAATTAAGAGCATTTGCAGCTGATTAAATGGTAATCATCGGAGACACGTCAGTGAAACGTGGAGACATACAGCATTGCCAGGCTGTGGTTCCAAATTTAGCCTTGCCCTGTTCAATGATGAGCAGATTTATGGTGTGATCTAGGAGGTTTCCTTTTTTAGGAATATAATAATGTTGCTTTAAATAACACACATTTCATGATATCTTCAGTATTTCTTAATCATCATGACTGCTGCCGGCGAAATATGAACAGCTCAGTCATTGAGCTGTAGCTGTCAAAAAGGGCAAACAATCTAACAACATTTCATTATGTTTGATGGCTTTGATCACATGCCACAACAAGTTTCATAATGGTGCCCTGATATTCTCAACACAGCCTTTTCAGAGATGTATACATGTTCTGCAGTCAGACACACTCTTCCAGTATTCATGCTCATACTGTAAACTTGAATTGATGAGTTCTAAATTGCTTGGCCTGGTACCCAGCACAGAATACCATCTCCCACCGATATCTTATTTTGCCATTCATTAGAAAGAGAAGCAAAAGGTTGGGTGGTGGGGGGGGAATAAGCTATTTTGCCCAATTTTCTATCCTGCCCCTGGGCATCAAATTCAATTTTCCACCAAAAGTTTGCAGTGAGAAAGAAAAGAAAATAAACATACGATTTCTGTCCAGAGGTGGATCAGTAACTCACTTGAAAGAGGGTGGGTGAGACAGGTGGGAAGAGACTGATTAGAGTTCCCAGCAGCCTCAGCAGCCTCCTGGCTACAACCAAATGTGAAAGCCTTATCGCAGAATGGCCATCCTGTCCGTGATTTCCCAGAATGCTCCACAAATGCTGATGAACTTTCACTCATACACAGCCAAATATTTGCAATGGTAACCTGCAGATATGGTTGTGAATGTCAGAGTGAATGGCTGCTGTTTAAAAAAACACCAAATTATATTCTCGCAATGAACTTGGAATGGCTCTGCCAGTATGACATCATATAAATATTGTGACTGTTTAGGCTTTGTAAGGAGTACTATAACTCATTTACATTTGTGATTATTTGTATTAGTTGTAGTAATTGTAGTATGACAGTCTTGCTTGGTAAAGTGAAAGAAAAGTCATGAAGTGGTTTACGTAGTGTGAACAAATATTTAACTTTATGTCGCAACTGTCACACTGAACCACAGGAATAAACCCAA